ATGTGTGAACAGAAATAGAAGTGTGAGATAGTGCCCCTGTCCCTGGTGCTGAAATGTAAAACTCCTAACATTAGCTGCATTGACTGAGGGAGACTTTGAAACCCTGGTGGTGGACAAACACACACACACACACACACACACACACACACACACACACACACACACACACACACACACGCACACGCACACGCACACGCACACGCACATACACATGAGCCGTCAAATCATATTCCATCAGACACCAGTACCAACGCAGTTGAGATTCAGACTGACCCACTATGGCACCATGCAGGGGGAAGCCTGTGACTGGCAGGTGACTGGGAACCACTGTTCTCTGCTCACTGACCTCCCTCTGGACCGAGTGGTGTCTCCTGTCCTGCTCACTGAAGGACAGCCTGTAACCGAGTTAACCCTGTCTCTCTACTCGTCTTTCTATTCTCTACTTCTATTTGAATAATTTATTTAATCAACTTTTTTGCTTCTATGTCCTGTGTTTACATCCCTCAATACCTGAGGACTGTACGACGAAGCCGGTTCAACATAACCTGGATATGTTTGAGTTAGCCGGTTGGCCTAATCCAAAACATACGCGCTCTCGCTAAGCGGTCCTACGACGCTGCTTATCAAGTGGATCGCTCAAGCCAGCCGTGTCCTATCTAATTAAGTGTGCGAGTTCACATAAAAGGGGCAGGGTTAGCAACATTTGACCAATCACAAACATGGAGAAGCGCACTAACAGCGCAGCGTCATACTTCCTGAATGAAAAGTTAACGATAATATTAGACAAATATGAAGACGTTAAACTTTAAACATCCATGACTTAAACACTTTATCCAGGATAAAAGCAACATAGTTGCACCTGCAAGGTGAATACAGCTGGTAAAAGAGAAAGTGTTTGAATGCGTACATTAACAGGTTTATGATATCACTGCCTAAGACACGAGTGGATCTGACTTTAATTACATTTGACTCGAGTGTTTCGTCAACTTAATGTGTTNTATTGACAAACACTTTCATATTGTAATTTAATCACATTACACCGTTCCATATTATCAGTTTCTCCTTTGTGGTCTGCTGTAATATAACTTCCACTGTTGGGGAGAAACTGATAATATGGAACGGTGTAATGTGATTAAATTACAATATGAAAGTGTTTGTCAATACAGTTAGTTGAATGTAATCAAATGAAAGTTATGTAACAAATTTAAGTAACAAATGGGTAACAACCAAATGTAATGTTTGTCTGTAGAAAACTATTAAAAAAATATATTGACAGATATCAGTGTTGAATACTGTTCTTACATTTGTTAGACAAATCTAAATTCAATCAAATATAATACCTTTCATAACTTATTAAGTTTTTAAAAGGGTAACTAGTCATCTGTAATATATTACATTTATAAATTGACCTTCCCAACACTTCAGATATACCATGAGAGATGAGACAAAAGCATGACTCTTTATTGGGATGCTGATTCAAGTTGCATCTCGGTATTATGATGAGCAGTTAGCTCAGTTTGCTTTCAGGAGCTCTCCCTCTGTAAAAGACCAAAAACACATAATTATTTCCTCATATCTGGGTGGATATTTCCATTTTTGTGTGTGTTTAATAACCCCTCACCGTCATTGACCACCCCGCAGTACTCGTCACACTCAGCCTTGCTGTAGAACTTGTTGGCGTTGCCCTGGCAGAAGCCCTGTTTGTACGGCACGCAGAGGCCCGCGGTGGAGTCGAAGGCCCAGACAGGCGGCTGGCCGGTGCACGGCATGGCCGCCATTGGCAGACGACACACAGCTGGAGACACAACAGAGGAGAGTTCATATTGTCATGCATATCCAGGGCAGGGCTAGGCCATCCATATTACACGACTACTGAATATTTGAAAGAAAACAATATCCTCTTTCACTTTTTTTATTGTGTTATTTAAAACACAAAGGATTTTGCCAATACCTATACATTATGACACCCATATTCTACGGTTTTCCTTTTTTTAAATGTATTATTCACAGCTCAAATCTTAGCATTGGGTATTGTTTATTATATGTATATGTACATAAGTAATATAACCACACTGTATACATCTGTTTATATCCTTATACTGTCTATACAGTACCATACTATCACTATACTGTCAATACCATTTATACTGTACATACTTCATCTGTTTATAGCCTAATTATTCATTCATTCATTTTGAATCTGAATCTGTTAGTCATTTTAAATTTGGCCTAATAATGGGAATCCCAACAAAGGGTTTTGTGGGTAAGTGTGGGTGGGTTTGGTAGTCATCCTCTCTGAGTAAGGGCCATTCCAAATTAGAAAAAAAGGAAAATAAATATATATATAATAAATATTGCAGACACTGTGCAAAAAATATTGATACTGCATGATTTGTAAAATACATTCAATAAGTAGAGGTTGTGTTTAGTATTTAAAATCAAACTCATTCATAATAACATTAGTTTACCAAAGTGCTGCACAATCGAATACAACAAAACAACAATTAGAACAATAGTAAACATTGATAGTGAATTAAAAGTCGATCAAATATGTGTTTAATTCACTCATGACCTTCAGTGCGACATCTCTGCAGACACTCTCTCTCGTTTTCAAAGTTGTTCTGGTTGCCCATACAGCCTCCGTAATTGAAGAGTGCACAGCTCATGGAGGAGGAGTTGTAGTAGTAACGCTGGTGCAGCCCGAAACATGGGCCTGTTTCTGGTGCTGCTTTACAGGACTCTACGTGGAGAAGTAAAGGGAGGATATTCCTATAGTTTCAACACCAGAATCAGAAACTCTTATCTTGCATTCAACACACATTTATTTTCACGAATGTCCTTTGTTTTGCAATAACATCTTAGCGTTTTGGGGTTAAGCTGATCTTACCGCTTCCATTGAAAAGAGGTGTATCATCACCAGAACCCTCGACATCTGCTAGAACCAGAGAAGGCACCACGTCTCTCCTCCTCCTCCTCTGCATCACAGCCCAGACACAAATGTCATCACTTATCATGTTTATAGCAAACACATACAGTATGTCAACAGCATACAGCTTTTTATTGTACTGTGAGGTATCTTAATGTATATAACATGTACATACAGTATATGACTTATTCCTTCATTTTACTTGCAACATTATGTCCCCTCCACTATTTGATTGCACTTTTTTATTGATTTCTTTTTAGGTTGCATTGTTGGAAGAGCCTAGGACTTGAAATTGACAATAACTGTTCTTTAGCTGTTGTAAATACAGTATGACAATAAAGTTGTTGAATCTATACAGAATTAAAGCTATGAAGACAACTCTTTGAAACTCATTTGGACGGCAACACAATTTAAAACTACATTGCAGCATTTTGTTATAATAGTCAGTTATAGATGCCATGTGAAGCCACAACATCAAATGCAGTGTCCACCTAAACTCCCATGAGAGTGACAATGAGTGCTTTTATTTATTATATATAGAAGGTACATTTTGGTGCTCATATCTGTAGTTTTACTCCAAATACTGCTCAAAGGAATATAGAAACTATTTTATTCAATTAAAGCACAGTGGACTTAAATCACTCTTTAAAAAACAATAAAACAAGAACTATATTAAAAGTATTAATTGAATTGCCTTCAAATTAAATATATAATCTCAATAAGACCCTTCAGGTTAGATCGCTTGAATGTATTTTGAGTACCTGAGCCTCAGGCTGAGCTGTCGGCTCCGCCACCACCTCTTCAGGAACACAGTCGCCTGCAAACATTTTAAATTAAGACATTTAATACAAGACAACCATAAACTTTATAGCCAAACAAAGTCTCACTGTATTTTAAATTGTGCTTGTGTTTGTGCAAAGCAAGTATTGGACATAATTACAATTAAAAAAGAGTGGAAAATAAACAATTATACAATATATACATCTCAAAAAAGAAGATGAAGCCGAACTAAATGAGTGAAAATACAAAAGGTGATGAGAGAAAAAATTTGTATCTGTAAGACACTATCGACGGGCTAAATTACAGCCAACACAATATAAAAGTGGGATATTATTTACATTAAGTGTGCAAAAATAACATATTCAATTAAATATAAATGTAAAATGTACAGTGAGAAGTTATAAGTCCAGTAGTGATGTGTGAAAATCTATATTTGACCTTTGTTCTGCTTAATTGTGATAGTGTCATCACTCATTCCCTGATCTCTGACCAGTGTTTTGAAGTCCTCCAGCACCGTGTCTCTCACCGTCATGGATCGACCTAGACATTAATAATAAAGGGAAATTACTAAACTGAAACTTTAAATGAGAGGGAAATCCTCATTTAAATAATTGTATCGAATAGTTGAGATGTAAAATAAATATAAACAGGGTACCGAAGTTAATAAATAAACGAGATGCAGTGCGTATTTTGAGAAATGTCACTCACTGAAAAGCTTAAGTGAGGTGCTTGTATCCCCTCCTGACTTCTGTTTGCTCATTATTATAATCGCATACTCATTGTAGTTTGTGTGAACCACATAGCCATCCACGTCTGCCCCCCACTCTGTTGAAAAGACAGGAAGTAATATTAAAACCTGCAACAACTTCATGGACCAAATGTGACCTTAAAGCTGTATCACTGCAGGATTCAATAGAGGGAGACGTACTTGCAACATGGTAGGAGAATCGTCCTGGTGTGGTGGTCAACCCAAAATCCACAGTCATCTCATTGCACGTTCCTTGTCTGCAAATACACAAACAAAGACTTTTAGATATAAACTGTCCACAACAGCTTCACCTGCGCAGAAGATATGATTGTTTTATAGTACACAGAAGGCTTTGTCACTGCAATGCCGCAGTGTAGCAATTCTCTTTTGCAAGAAACAGAATTAGCCTCATAACGGATATGAATACAGTTTAAATATTTAGTATGCAGAAAGACACATTTTAGAATAATGTAATTCCATTATTTGTTCTTGTTTGTGTATTAAAAACCTTTTCATCATGTTTTAGTAGATCATATTTTGTATTATTAATGTTATCTATCCGAGTAAAAAGTAAATATTCCCCCATGAAGATTATTCGTAAACAGGTAGAAAGTGAAATAAAATGAAAATACTCAGGTGAAATGGGTACTTTTGTGATATTCTAACTATAGGATAAACTACGATGTCTGTGCATTATAATGTGAAACACATATCAATCTATTTGTTAATTAAATGGTCTTGATATCTGATTATCTAGGATGAACCTTTTTGTAATAATATTTAAGGATAACATTTTTCAGTGTATTAGTTTGTTTGTGTGTGTACATGTGAACTCCTTACAAACCTGAGTACCCTCCGAGTGGCCTTGACTTTGCCCTGAGTGGTGCCGCTCTGCAGAACCAGTGTACCAATGGCTGAATCCCCCCTCTGACGTTGCATGTGGGGGCATGAACTGGCACTGGCAACATCATGCCATGTTCCCATGAACTGTCAGCAAACGGTAACATTAGGATTTTACATATTTCATATTAATACACATAAAAACCTCACATTGAAATCGGTAATGGTGTTTCAGTATACCAGACCAAGAAACTAAAAACAAAAGCCTAACCCCAGCAAAATCAACTTCACATTTACTATACTATACTATATAAATAAAGATGCAACAAAATGAAGTATTAAAAAAGAAATTGTTTTGCACTGCTTGCTTTAACTGTCACTTCACCGAACACTCGATAGGGGCAGCAACAAATAGATAATATAGACAAACAAAAAAAAGTTACACAAGAAAATCTATTTTTATGCAGACGATGTTATACTTACTTATATGTACTTAATATGAAATTGTTTTATTACTTAAGTGTACTTAGTATTAATTAATTTAAACTCCACTTTCCTGTGTTTGAGAAAATGTAGTCTGTAGCCCAAACTGCTTAAAAATACTCAACAATTGACACAAAAATACAATGTAGGTTTTACGTTATTTTCATTATGCATAGGTCATATAGGGAGGTTTCCAACTGCCTGTAAGATTAAACATTTCATCCCTGAAATATTAAATAAATGTTATTAATTGTTTAACAGACATAAAAGGGTGAAAAAAGGATCACATTAAGTTGTATTGCATTTCTGACCAAACAAAATAATACACTCTAAACTACAGAAGACTATACATAACATAGTTAAAAATAAAATGCAGTTTGCCGAGCTCACCTGGGCCAGATCAAAGTTCTCCTGCGAGGGGTAGAGAGGGTCTGGGAGGACCGGGACCCCCTGGAGGGTCCACGTCCAGCACAGCAGCAGCAGGGAAACCTGAATCACAGCGTTATGCATCCTATCAGGGCGTCAGTCCACTCGTCTCTGAAAGGAATGATCCAAGACCCTGAATCCAGGAAAAGGGCCACCTCCTCACTCCTTCTTACCCCCCACCCTCCACTCTTCAAACGGGGAGGGGGCATTGACCTGTGATTTGTGTGCTGTGCATGCACTCACTCCCACCCAGAGTAAAGTAAAAAAACAAACAAGTAAAGAGGCAAAGTTCGGATCCCTGTCTGTGACAGTTTGGCAACAAACAAGAAATCAATATGTATCACACTATTTGAGAAACTAATGAGTCATTTTTCCATGAACAGTTTTCTTTTGGAAGTTATTGCATATATTAAAATACAGTATGTACAGAAAACCAATAAGCATTTTAGTGACATTATTAATTTATTATATTTTTCCCATACATTTTATTTTCAGGCTTTGATTTCTTTGATCTTATGTATATTGCTCTCAATAATTGATTACATTATAAACAGGAGAAGACATTTGAATTGCTACTGGTCCTTAAAAAAGAAATGAAGCACCAACAGAAAAAAGGTTCTTTTAAGGTTGGCTGGTAGTGATATAGTAACATTCATACAGTGCGTGCTGTACCCATATTGTCACGATTCTCATGTTATGTCACGTTTATAGTTTTGTAGGTTTGGGTGTTTTTGCTGTTTTCCATGTCATGTTTCCCTTTGGGTTATTGTCTTGTCATTAGTTTCCCTGGTGTGTCTAATTGTCTGATTATGTTCACCTGGGCCCCTGTGTTTTCTCCTCCCTCCTCACCTGTGTCTTGTTGTGTGATTGAGTCTTGTGTGTATTTAAGTTCTGGGTTGTCTGTCTGTCTGTCTTGGTTCGGTTCGTCTTGTTCTCTGACTAGTTCTGCGGTGAGTGTTCTGTTTGTCATTGTCTATATATCATAGCCTTGAAATAAAGGAAGTTTCAGTTTAAATCTGCATTTGGGTCCTGCTTGTTTCACAAACCGTGACACATATGAAAGTCAGTAATAACAAATGTGTTTCTTTCTTTTAGGAAAATGTTTTTTCACACTCATACATAGTTTTACATCATAGTCTGCTTTGTGAGATGACCCTCCTTTTCCGTTGTTTCACAGGATCAGTCACCCTGTAACAGTAAACAGATATGTTTTAATATGGCTAGATTCAGAGGTGGGAGAAGTACTCAGATCTTGTACTTAAGTAGAAGTACCAGACTGTAGGAATACTCTTTTACAACTAAAAGTCCTGCATTCAAAATGTTACTCAAGTAAAAGTACAAAAGTATTAGCATAAAAATATACTTAAAGTACCGAAAGTAAAAGTAGTCATTATGCAGATTGGTCCATTTCAGAATTATATATATATATGATATGTTTTGATTCTAATTATTGATCATTAAAGTGTTATCAAAGCTGGTAAAGGTGCAATTAGTTTTAATGACTTTGTATACTGCAGGTCCTGTAGCTTGTGAATTTACTCCAGGTGGAACTAAAGGTATTAAATACATTTAGTGGAGTAAAAGTACACGATTTACCTCTGAATTGTATTCAGGTAGAAGTAAAAAGTAGCACAAAATGGAAATACTCAAGTAAAGTACAAATACCTCAACATTGTACTTAAGTACTTGAGAAAAATGTACTTAGTTACTTTACACATCTGCCTATATTAGACACAAAATATCATATAAACCATTTTTTATTTATTAAATATGAGTAGGCATACATTTTTTATTCTGGCATGTGTGAGGATGTGAAATAAAAAGTGTTGGGGTGGAAAAGGCCTCATGTTGTTGTGTAGGGGATTTATTTATCAAACATAAATAAAGAATGAACCATTCAATTGTCTTTTGTTGTATTTAATTCTTGCAAGAAGTACTGTTTGCAGAGTAAAAGATGCAGAATAGAGTTTGTGTTGGATGTTTAAACACAGAGGGAATAATGGCAGTTTAAGCTTAGCGACAATGTAGGGAAAGGTGCATTGTTCATAGTTCATCTGAAGTTGAAGGTCCTATTGTCTATGTTCATAGATTGTAACTAAGAACATCGCAACAAAGGTTCTTAAGAACTTTTCCCAAGCTGAGCAAAGAAGTGAGAATGCCAGTAAATAGAGATAAACATTAGCAACTAAGAATCAAACAGTGATATTCTTGTAAATGAGTCAAATACTGTTCTATTAAGAGTTGTTTATTTTAGACCCCCTGGATTTTTTCACCTCTCAATTCATTTGTCATCACCTGGTCAAACATTAGCAGCGCCCTGGAACCAAAGGTGGCCCCTCATTTATTTCCAACCTGGTGGGAACAAACGTCTCAACATAAGGTATCCAGAGCGCATGACACGAGGGTTTTTCAGTATCCAAATTAGATTTCAGCACATGAGGATGAAGTTCGTACCTGGGGCTGAGTTGAGATGGGATTCGTCTCCTGCTCACCTGAACACTGACCTGGGAATATAGTGAGATGTACTTTCATTTATTTCTGTGTGTCAAGAAAAGTCAGGGTTTTAAGAATGACCAGGTATGATCAGTAGTCCAGGCGTTACCTATATTCTGATTCACGATGATAGCGTCATCACTCAGTCCATGATCTCTGACCAGCGTCTTGAAGTCTTCCAGCACAGCAGCACTCACACTCTTACTCCGACCTGATGGGGACATCACTACCATTACACAAACTGATACATTTTTCTATGAAAAAACACAACACATATTCATATATTTACTTGTCACTCACTATATAGCTTGATTTTGGAGGTTTTAGTTCCTGAAGGTTGTTCAGTGCTCAGCAGGAGCATCATTGCGTACTCATTATAGTTGGAGTGAACCACGAATGAATCAACGTCTGCTCCGAACCCTGGGGACAGAATAATGTTGAAATTATGAGTTTACTTTAGCATTAACAATAGCCTGTTAAGTGAAAGATATGTAATGTCATGCCACAAAGGGTGTTTCAATTAAATCAATAACAAAAGTGAGATTGGGGACGTCACAAAGTAGCTAAGGATCATGGGTCGGCTTCTCCTGGTTAGAATGTATTATTGTTTATCGTTCAGGACATTTTGGAGCCGGCAGAGGTCTCCCCCTCCACAGATAAAATGGACCTGATCTTTTAAAATGTGTATCAATGTGTGTGATAACTAAAGACCCAAATGTGTGATTAAATGAATTCTCTACCCTGTTAACATAATAGTAAACCATCCCAGATCTAAAGAGTATATGGTGAAAACTTGACTTAAAACTGCATGAAAAGTACATTTATAATCCTGCACAGATGAAAACCAAAAATGAAACCAGGTTGAAATGGCTTGTTGTCATGATTCAAAATGACAGATTTGCTCTATAAATTCAAAAAAAGTTACTACAACTTAGTAATTAACTTAATAATGTGGGTCCGGGGACATGAACACAATACATTTAACAAAGGATGAGGACAGGAAGGAAGCTAGAGATACATACTTGCAACATGGTTGAAGAATCGTCCTGGAGTGTCGGTCAAACGATAGTTTGTGGATCTGTGCTTACACGTGCCATTCCTACTACATTCAGGCACACACACAACAAAAGCAGAGATTAAACTAAATACAGCACACTTCAAAATACCAAAAATGCTTGCAAGTCCGACCTGAATCTCGCAGACATCATGGTGAAGTTCCCATCAGGAGCCACTTGTTGCAGATCAAGTGCAACAATGACAGGGTTCTCCCTCTTGTCCTCCATGTAGTAAGGACAGGAGGAAACCACCGCTACCTCATTCCACTTCCCCATGAACTGCAGGAGACAAATATAATGTAGAGCAAAGCATTTCCCATGGCAAAAAAGATGGAGGAGGAAGGGATAACCTAATTTTTTGTCATCTACGAATGAATAAAATCTGTATTTTAGTCCACTTACCTGGCCAAGGTCAAAGTTCTCCTGTATGGGAATGAGATCATCTTGGAGTACAGGGCCGGCCTGCAGCATCCAGGCCAACCCCAGGACCAGCAGAGACCCCGGACTCACCGCTCCCTGCATCCTGTCAGACCCTCAAACTGACTCAATGGGTTTTTTGTAAATTCCCTGCCTCAACACTACCAAAACAAAAAACACAACTAAAAGAGCAAAGTTCTGTCTCTTTATCTTAGCGTGTGTGTTCACTCGATATGATCAGCAGAGGATCACTGGACTTCAGAATTTGAGGCTAAAACAAACAAATCAATACCTGTCAGAATTGAAAGGCTTAGCTGCATTTTTTAAAGGGTTGTATGAGGTACTTACCAGATAAACTGTAAGAACAGTTAAATATAGTGTACACTGATATTGATTTGTATAGTGTCTAAAATAAGTTGTATTGCTGCCCCACTTCATGGCAGTACATTGCTTTGCTTCAATGCCAGAACTCCTGTCTGTGAACGTGGGGCATATCGATCACCATCTTCTGTAGGTTATAAAGTGATTATAGATAAGTACCACAAACAACCTCACTTTAAAAAAAATTCTTCACTTTTCCTTTAATATCTGATAATTACTAGTGAAAAAGGCAGCAGTGATGTCACTAGATTACCCATTAGAGAGCTATTATTCACAGAAGGGACAGTGTTGTGGAGCCCTGTCTCTGCCCCCTAGTGGTCACAACACACACACACACACACACACACACACACACACACACACACACACACACACACACACACACACACACCATTTGGTGATTAAGAAAAACAGACAAAACATAGATTTTTTTTTAAATAGCCTTGAGGTTTATATCCTTTATTTAATGTCAGCGCAGTAGTATGAAAATAATGTGAAACACTAAATAAAGAGCATGATGTATACATTACATTGGAAATATATGTTAATTATCATCCTTTCAGCCATAATAAGGAAGTTTGCTGAGATAGAGCTTTTTGCAACACTTCATGGTACAGTGTACGAACAAAGAGGTGGAGCAGCATCATCTCCTGCAGGGAGAAACAGAAACTCATTTTGACTGAAGATTTGTTGTGCAGCAACCATTCAAAAACCTTGTAGGACATGGTTTAAGTCATTTAAAGAAAATAAAACAACTCACCTAGCCAGATCTTGATGACGGGCAATTTTCTGTTGGCCAGAAAACATTTATGGTCATTTAATTATCCTTTAATATTTGTGTGGATGTGAATAAACTGTATTATAAGTGTATGTGTGTGTTCCCTATACCTTACCTGCTGGAGGTGGAGTCAGAATAGACTCTTTGGGGAAATGCTGGGACAAGGCGAAGGCTTTAAACTTCTGAAGGACATCAACTCTGGCCGTTTGAGCGCGACCTGCAAACAGAGACACAGAAAAATGGTGTTTGCTCTGCAGCTCACATGTGATGGAAATAATGTGTATATCTGTGTTTGTGTGTCTCACCGTAAAGCGCCACCTGCGTGTACTCCCTGTTAAAAACCTTGTGTTTGAGAACCACAGCGTATTCACTGTAGTTTGTGTCAACCACTGTGATGTCCTTCACCATGTTATGGCCTGAAAGTACACACAGCACAGATGAGGGACTAATAATAATAATACGTTTATTTATTAAAGTACCTTTCACAGAAATATAATTCACAAAGTGCTTCACAGTAATGCTGTCACTTGTCATGTAGTAAAAATAACCTTAACCTAAGAAGTACGAGGATGAATAGAAATCCATGAGGGTTATATTATAATGCTATATCAAGAATAATTAGTAAAATCTGTAAAATAAAATAACCTACAATATTGGATGACTTGACTTTTGTGATTAAGTATTGGACATTGTATATGTGACATCCAACAAAGAGTGTCTATTTATGTTATGTATGAACTGTACCAAACCATATTATAACAATACTGCAAATACATCTTTAAAAAGTTATACATTTTCTTTTTGCATTATACAGTTTATGCCCTAAAATAAAATCATTTTAAAAAAAGGAAGACAAACAAACAATTAAATTCATAAAAGGTGCATGAGTGCATCATATACACAAAACAAAATGTATTAAAAACGATACAAACGTATATACTTCCTGCACCCTATATTAAAATCTGTTTAAGAGCACTCAGAAATGGAGCCTAACGGTAGTCCTGCTCATTCTATAGTCACATGTTCAATACATGTTCCAATCATGTTCATCCTTGAGCTTCCTCTTACAAAAAGCTATCGAAATAAACCTAATGTTAGATTTGTCTGCACCCACAGCTTCACTGCTGCCTACTTTCATGTATTGCTTGTATCGTTAAATCAAAAAAAGCACATTGACTGGTAATAGTCACATGCCTTGCGTTGGCAATGCAGCTTTTATCCACGTGATTGTTTGAGTTTGTTTGCCCGTATGGTTCAAAATCAAACATTGTTCTAATGCGGCCAAATATTGACATTGTAACTAAAAGCTAGACCAAAGATCATGCTTAACATCCTTGTTGTACAGGATGTGAAGATGAGTCAGAGACTTACGTGTGCTGAAGTAGGAGAACTGTCCGGCTACATTGGTCCTCTCGTAGTTGTACACCTGAATCACACAACCTAAAGGTCTGAGGCACACAGAGGAAACACAATGTGTCTATTTTTTATTTTAAATCCTTTCTTCTTTGACACACATTTACATTTGAATACAGACTCACGTGAGTTCCCACATGGTGAGATTAACGTTGCCGTTTGGCATCGCTGTGACAACGCCCATGGAGGCCCTCAGTTTGCTCCTGAAGGGGACAAAACTCGGAGAATCGTAGGCCAGGCCTAACCGATACCATCTCCCTGCAAACTGAACAGAAACAGGCACACAAGATAGGTGTTAGTTTTAAAGATTTTGATGGGTGCCAAATCAGGCAGCCATAACACCAACTCTGCCAGATTCACCTGATGGGCTCAGAGTGAATTGCTTTGTATTTACTTGAACTCAAGGGGACAAACCAATACTGCTGTGATTGCGGTGAGATTATTACCATCCTGGCAGAAGTTACAGGGGTGGTGCCAAATCCTGCAGCCATAACACTAGCTCTGCCAGATTAAGAAAGCCCCATTTCATGTTTCACCTGCTTTATTTTGGTCAAACAACCAGCTCTGCCAGATTTAGAAAGCCCTATTTAATGGAGGTACATATCAGACAATGCAACTCTAAAGTTCATCTACGTTCTTATTAGTTTATTGACCAACATGTATGTTTAAGACACAGAAGAATAAACTATTTCGGTATTTGGGGGTTAATACTTGATGTTCTTTCTTTTTTTTTCATATATTTTATTGGGCATTAAAAGTACAAAATATAATTTTACAGAACAAGAAAGGGGCAGAAACACAATGCTCACTTTCAGTTTTCTATTTTAAACATCCCACCCAGCCTCCACCTCAGGTAAACAACTAAATTAAGCACACAAAAAAAAGAAAGAAAGAAAGAAAAATAATTCTAAATAAAAAGATGATAATAATAATAAGGGAAACTGTAAGCAAAAGATATTCTTACAATAAGAATAATATGAACCAAAAGGACTCAATCGTCCGATCTGTTAGACATAATATGAAAGATAAAAACGGGCTCCACATTTTATTAAAGTTCTTTATAGAACCTCTAAGAGAGAACCTCAGTTTTTCCAATTGATGTTCTTTAATAATAAAAGTTTTGTTGTAACTTGTAAGTAAGACAAACCCCAAATATATCTAGACTTGTCCATCAACTTTTTTTCTTCTAGTCAGCAACACACAACGTCACCAAACATGGGCATTGGGAAAACTAAATTCTATATATCACATGCACCATTTTCCAGCTGTTATTAATTGAACATTTATTTTTTATTTATGTATTTGGTTTATTTTAGCATGAAAGCCCCCAGTAGGAAAACAAGTGAGATTTATTGGTAAATGTTGAAAACATTTCCTCTAACCACAGCATTTCCTTATGTCCGCATTAGAGCCTTTCAAACACTGACTGGATGGAGGTGTGACTGTTGAATCTTACATGTACCCACACATTGGCAATGAACCCTTTAACGTACATATAGTATCCATCATAGGGTTCTTTTAAATGCTTCTGGGATGAATACCAACAGGAAATAAATGAAGAAGACATTTCTCATGATGTGTTTACCCTGGGGAAAGTCATACTGACCTCTCTCAACCTGAGGAAACCAGAAGGCCAAGGATTCACAAATCAATTAATCATGACACTTTGTTCTTTGTACTGATGCTTTGTACTTGGTTTGTTTTTGGCCGCCAACTGGTTAGCTGTTCTCAAACATTGACTACACACACATGTGGACATGTTCTCAGTCTTTCTTATGCAAACACACACAGAACACAGCGTTCCCTCGTCAATGGAGATAAATAATAACTAACGAGAGCAGATACTTTTTATCATAAATCTGACTGGTTCAAACACAATACTACTGAAAAACAAACATGAGAAGAAGTGTGATCTCTTACCCTCTGCAGGTTGAAATCTTTCTGTGGCTTCACGTCTGCGTCCACCATCATCACGCACAACGTCACCATGACAACAGCGAGCATAGTGGTCCTCATGGCTGCGTCGAGAAAAGGAGAGGTGTCTGAAAGGTTGAGAGAGGGTATCTGACCCGAGCCTAAAGGGAACTGCAGTCAGTCAGAGACAGGTACAGAGTGGCAGAGCCTGTGGCAATGTTTGTTTTTCTGCTGATCCACCCACCTGCCTGTCAGCCAATCATCGCCGCAGGGGAACAGGGGCCAAGTGTTGAAGATGTGTGGCTCCAAAACAAGCCAGACTTAGACTTCCCTTCCCTAAAGGTGCAGCAGTATGCTTGTGGTCTGTGAACATCATGAAGCTCATGTGCTTCCCACACAAGCACAGACACGCTGCTGACACGAGACATTGTCCCACAACACGAAGAAGGTCAGAGGTCCTCCATTAAAGGCCTAACAGTGGTGGAAGATGTCTTCAAATAACTAACATTAGTAAAATAAGCAAAATCACAATATAAACACTCAGTTCTAAGTAAAGGTTCTCAACTGGGCGTTCATTAACTTAAAAATATCAAAGAATTAGTAACAAAGTGTCATTTTAGTATTTAAAGTAATGGCTCTGGTTAATTGATAAATATTAAATCTAACTCTTAATGCCTAGTAGATGTTTAATAAATGTAGTAAAGAAAAAGATACAACGTTTTCCTATGGAATGTAGTACTGTAGAAGTACAAACTGGCAGAAAAAGAAAGGTGTTTATACTTCATAATTCAAAGGAATACTTCATCCCCCAATTTAATATTTGTATATCAATTACCCAATAAAAGGGAAAATACCCTTCACACCTACAAGTAGTGCACCTTCACAAGCATAGGTACAGTATGTTTATGTAGAAGTGTTTGAAATAGTGAGGTTAATCAAAAATGCATGTTTGGAAAGTAGTGATCGTTAAACTTTAAATAAGACTTGCATTATCTGTTCGTAAGAGTTTGTTAATAATGTTTTTCTGTTGTTGTTTTGGTGTGCAAGTATTCCTTTAAGTTCAGTACTTTTCCCACACCTGTCAAGAACAATACTGTGTCATCTGTTGGCTTGAATTGAAGTGTAATAATTGCATATTAAAGAGGACAAGTTTGCACAACTAAAGTATGAAGTGCTAAAACTCACTCATGTCACGACAAGAGAAACTAGTCATATGTTTCTGTAATAAAAGTCCCCAGGTTCATTTTGAAACTCCTTTTTGAGTTCCAGTTTCAGGCTGACTCATTTATTATTCATTATTTCTGTTTCGATAGTTGGCTGTGTTGTCCCAAAATGCACAGATGAGTAAAGCGTACTAAAGATCCTTTACTAAAATAAGTAGGCTCAACACTATACAATAAAATATATAATACTTAATCTAATTTGTATTTCTGATGTTAGCTTAAGATGATTCATATGTTTTACCACAGTGTGCAGGAATCTCCTTTAAAGGAAGATATTGAGCTCCTCTCAGATTCAAATATTGTTAAATCTCTTTTTTTCTTATTTGATACATAAACATGTGACAGTACTGTTATTTACAGAGAATCGTTTAGCTGTTAAAAAACAACAACTGGCCATTCATACTTTTTGACTAATGCCTAATTTTACTTTACAGGAAGCTGGCCGGGGATGACCCAAAGTGAACTGCATAACCTGACGTTTGGTACAGTGAACACAACGTTTTAGGGTTAACGGCCATGCTGTTAGTGTTGAAACGGTTGTGGTTGTAAATTGTCTGGATTATCTATACACAGCATCTGAACGATTTCAAAAAATAGTTACAACAATCGGAGCCTAAGTGAACAATTTAAATAGTTTTTTTATTAATAATGATTTTCCATTTGATGCAGCATTTGCTTTTATCTAGTTTTCTTGAAACTCATGATATATACCGCTAGCCTTCAGTAGACAAGAGGACATCAGTGTGTGTGTGTGTGTCTCGCACACACACAGTACACCTCACAGACCTCCACTACAGACTCTGCACAAGCCGCCTTCTGTGCAACGAGAAAACAAAATCGAATAATAATTTAAAAAACCTTTCACACACATAGGCAGACGTGTTCAAACTCGTTTCCTTCTCGAGCAACGCTTGATGTTCCTGAGGACCATGACAGGGAAAAACAGAGAAACAGGAAGTGCAAGCGTGAGAAAATATTTATCAGAGGCATGAGGGGGCAGAGAAATGTTTTACTCAGCCAGGGTTTTCTGCTAGATCACCGTTTTTGTCTGGTGTGTTATGATATCTGCATTGCTAACTTAACATTGACCTTCAAGGTGATTTATGAGTCAAAGTGTATTAGGGGGCTGGCAGTAAATTGGTTTAGTCTGTCAAGAAATAAAGGTGAGGAGCTGTCATGTCTAATGAAAATCTGTTCAAGGTCAATTGAGGAAAACATCCCACATTCTAAAAATATTTCATGTAAGGTTTCATTTTGACCTCTACATTTCCATCTACAGTAGTTTTAGTTGCAGTTTTACGTCCTGTTATTATTCGTCCGAAGGCTGCATAACAAAAATGATGACATGGAAACTTGTGTGCGCGTTCACTCTCCTTTTCTCTGAGAAAGAGCACAGCACCCCCCTGTGGCCTCAAGTCCTCAATACACCACAGAATGTTGCTCCCTTCAGGTCTTAAACTGATTTATCTACTTCCTCCAAATCAATATGCATTAGCCGAGAAGAGAAAGATTGATCTATTTCCACACCAGTTGAATCCAGAATTATGTTTCCCCTGGCTGGTTCCTTTTGCCTTTTATAAAAAGATAGAAACTCCTGCCATTCGATTGTCTTACACTCATGCTCCCGCTTTTCTTTTTTATCCAATCACAAAAGCTTTGTTTTTATGCAAAGAAAAACAAAATCAAACACATATAGGCAGTGAAACAATCAAAGTATAATTAACAGCTCCTTAATAATCAAAATAATAATTTAAAACTCCTTTAAAAAAAATAAAGAAGTGGGAAATTGAAACATCTTATTCAGAGTGCTCTGCCGTGGGTCAGCCACAAGCATCATAACAGTCAAACTGTGTTCCCTTGGATACGTAAATCACACTTTACTTTACAACATCATCGTCATTGGTCTCTCATTCGCCTTTTCAGACATTCATAAAAGGACATTTCACACTCATCGTTAAAGAATAAATACAAGTGAGAGAGGGACTCTTTGCACAACAGAGGAAGCAGGACTGAGTCTCAATCGGTCAAACGGCTAAATTGGACTTTCCCCCCCCAATCAGGGAAATGATAGGTCAGAGCGACTTTGACGACTAGCCGTCAAGGTCAACGGTGTCAGTGCAAGGTATGAATGAAGAATAGCAGTTTGAACGTTTCGAGAATCAACCTGCAGGAGCAAAATAAGCCAACGTTTTGCAGTTACACTACGGCAGCCTGGCTGTACTGTAGGTGCAAAAGTAAAACAAGAAGTCACAGGGTAATGGCAGACTACGCATAACACACAAAAGATATTTCAGAAAAGTTTGGAGTGTGTAGTTGGAGCATTCATGTTACCAGACCGTGCCAATAACTGACCAAAAAATCCTACATCAAACTCCATTTTTAAACATCTGAAATAGCGACAGATTAAACCAAAGTCTGACAGGATCGCAGCAAGATGGAGCATACATGGTGGATAATGGAGGACTGGTATCTGACAGGGGGTGCAGCTTGAAGAGAAGGGGTGAAAGGTCACGGAAAAAGAGCGGGAAGAGGTTAGAGATAGATGAGTTAAAGAGGATTGGGGCGGTTGGCAGACACATGATAAAGGCTTAGAATAAAAGGTGCTAAGCAAAAAGGATAGTTGGATGAGCAATAGACCAAAAGAAGATGGCAGGATGAAGGCGTCAGTTGTTGGACTGCCCTGGATTTTCAAAATAAAAGCATGTGCTCCCTGGATTTAGGCCTACTTTTCTGGGAACTTCAAGAGGGACAAATTTGAATACGGTAGCTAGAAGCTGAATAAGTCAAGCAGCGATGCATGATATGTCGGGCCGATAAATGATTGGCAGATAATGGAAAACGTATTTTATGTATTGTTCCTATAGCTAAATTAGTTAATCCTAAAAAGCCCAATTGCTTATCTTTAAATACTTTGACTTGATGTTCTATAATATATGTTTTCCATTATTAAAGCCAAGTTTAAAAAGACCTCAACCTCATGAACTTAAATATTTATTTATTTAGATATCTTATGCTTGTTATTCATTTGTATTTTTTTTTAATGATACTAATAATAAACATTCATTGTTTTCTCGTGTTAAAAATAGTGATTTAGATTTGGTTAGGTGAGATTTAATATCAAGTCATCTTTGCTCTCTACACCTATCAAGCCTTATCCTTTTAAAATATAAACATTTGAAATGATAGATTATTTCATCGTTAGCGGCCATAAACAGCAGGGAAGGAATCCATATCGTGCATCCCCAGGAAATAGTCCAACTTAAGGAGAAGTTTGAGAATCTGTGGGCCAGGGCCTGTGGATCTGGGAGGAGAACTCACAGTAAGGCACAGTGCTCTGCTCGTGTGGTAAATGATGCTCATTCATGCTGCTACAACCTCTGATGACAGCTACTGCAGACAACAGACAAAACATTGATGACGAAGCACATTTCCCCCTCTTCTACGGTTCCATTTCAAATGCATCCTCCGCCGTGAATGAGTCCCCCACTCCCGCCTTTATATCTTTGGATCTTTCGGCTCTTTTGAAATGTGGCAGAACATCCCTCTTAGCAACAGAACAAAGTTGAAAACACAAGTCCTCGCTGATCAGGCGATTTGGTGCTTATCTTCAGTCAAGTCCTCTTCCGAAGAACACACACACACACACACACACACACACACACACACACACACACACACACACACACACACACACACACACACACACACACACGATAGTCTACCTTTAAGGACCAAACCTGCACAATACAGCCGCACAAACACCCTGCATGTAGGCTCAGTAGCTCCATGGTTTTAGCCCAGGATTTAAATCAGATCACTTTGTTTTCCAGCAACTGAAAATAAATTCTGCAGCTTCATTTTTGAGGACTCCCAACAGTTACGATTTGGATTAACGTAAAGCAAAAATAATACCCGATACATCTGCAAAAAGAGAAAGCTCTTGCAACAACATAAATTACTAAAGATCAAATTCTCTTAAATATGTAAACAAACACTACAACTTAAATATATTTGGTGTGATGCAGACATATTTAAATACAAAGCTTGCTTTTATATCAGCTCTCCCGTGGTGCGGCTGATTATTGCACTGCAAACGCTGGAGTCCTATTGCACTTGAGTGGATCTTTCACTGGTCTGATTTAACTTCTGTCACTGTCAAAGGCTTTTCCAATCAAATTCTTCCCTTAAACTTAAGCTCTACAGTACGATTGGGAGAATTGGAGACAATAGCCCAGAGAAAAACCTTCATAAAGCTAATCTAGGATAGAGAAAAGCTGTTTTTAAATCACACAGGTTTGTCACTTCTGGCTGATTGTGCAGGTGAAGTCAACGGTAGTGTCTCCAGTCTTTCACAAAACATCAAACAGAGAGACAGTGTAAGTCCTCATAGGTCCCTCTGCTTTCCCACACACACACACTTTCTATCCAGGCTCCTTCTCAGCATTCTCAAAGTCTGTTGATATCTGTGGTTTAAAAGTTTTTGCATTCTGAATGCCAGGTGCTCCGTTTGTCCCCCAGCATCACATGGTGGTTTGACGGACAGGGATGAAGAGGCGTGTCTGTTAGAAAAGGGTGTGGACAGGGGGTGGTGTGGCGTTTTACCAAAGAGACCGGGTTCCTGGGTTTGTGCCTCTCTCTGTTTTTTGCTGAGGTAGCGAGAGGAGTTGCCGGGGACGGATGGAGTAATGCTGCGTGTGTGTGGCGTGCATGAGTTTGCTTTTAGAGATTTTTGAAAGAGTGTTTTGAGGGAATACAATGTGTGTAAATGCGTTGGCAATTGAGTACGGGTGCAAGGAGTGTGTATGGCTGTTCATTGAAAATGGTTTTCTATTATGGGGACAAGGTCCTGCATTCTGCTATCCTGGTCACTTCTTTTCTGTATCTGTGTGTGTGTGTGTGTTTGTGTGTGTGTGTGTGTGTGTGTGTGTGTGTGTCTGTGTATGTGTAGTGGTCAGCCTGCTCATCACAATTTCTTTTCCCCTGACAGTATGGAGCGGTAGAGCTCCTCGTCCAGCTGTACATAGCAACCTCTCCTGGAATCCAGGAAGTACAGTCTGTCTGACACCAATGTGGGGTCGAAGTTGTCCCGACGCAAGTCCGTCTTCTGAAACTTAAATGTTCCTGAGAAAGAGATGGAGAGATTATGAAGATATTACATTATGATTAGACTGCCATTTAGCTGCTTTACCTTACTGTTTCACTGCTTTAAGAAAGTTATAAAAATGCACCACTATCTAACATTTGCTCTCAACAAGCAACTTACATGTTTTATTTGAAATATATTCATATACAAAGCAGTTTAGTTATACTCATATTATATATGTAGTTATACCCTATATTCTGTGCCTCTGGAAATGTTTTTGGAGAGAGGGACATGTGGACTACCTTGCCTAGCCCCAAAGAAGCACAGAAAATGAAAGGTGGGATGGACCACATTGTTTTCTGACTCCTTGTTGGGACAGTTTTAAATAAAACTGGAAAATGTCAGCTAAAAATGGTATTGTAATTATTTAAAAGTAAAATAAAACTAGCTAAAAAGGTTTGAGATTTATTTGAGAAAACCCTTTAATACCAGCCTGTTTTCAAAAATTGCACAAAAATAAAACTGTTCGCTTCGGAAAATGTCATTTTTTACCTGTCTTGTCGACCTCTGGCAGGAAGCGAAGGAACACAGGTCTGGCGTACGGAGGGATAGCTTTGTCCATGTCCTTCACAAACTTCTCCAGGTCAGTGGAGTGAGATGGATCGGCGATGGCGGCCATTCCAGCCTTTCCCTCTGCTCCTGTGCACACAGACAGCGTGGGGGGGGGTGGGGGATTAGATCTGTGGACTGCTGAGGTTCAAGGTCACACATATGCTTGTGTTTGGGCCATAAAGCCTGGGCATAACCCTCCTCATGACTTCAAACCGGATCTTACTTCCCCTCATGTACTGCTAGTTCTTAAAGACATTGTGAAAACTGATTGATATTCTCTATTTATCAAAAAAATTACTATTTTACACAGAATTCTAAAAACGGAAGGGTCGTGGACAGAGCTAAGCATAATTGAAATATACTCAGTCTAGACCAAGGGTCGGCAACCTTTTTGATATGAAGTGCCATTTAAAAAAATTAATTGTTATCAGCGTGCCAACGATCGAGAATTATCAACGTGGGGGGGGGGAGGAGCCTTGCTGCGGGGAAGCAGTGTGTGGACCTGACAGCGCAACTTATGATGCCGAATTTAACAAACACATTTCAATTATTGGTTTAAACGGCATAATAATAAGGACGATCGTCCGTTCTGTGATTCTCCAGAACACACGTTATGATATTAGGGCAGTGCTTCTCAAAGTGTGGTCCACTGGTGGTCTGTGAGTATATAATAACATTTCACATTTTAAATAAATACATTTCAGTTTTCCGCACTCTCGCGGGAATATCTCCGCAATGGAGCGAAGTTAAGTTTCAATTGCATGATATAGCCCAGCGCAACACCTTCGTCACACATGTTGCCACTTGTTTGTACAATTTTCAGGCGATTTGTAATATGTTCTAGAAAAACGATGTGTTTTTTGATATTTGTGGAGTTAGGTGGTCCGTGAGTTTTTTTTTTATTGGTTAAGTGGTCCTTGGTATGAAAAAGTTTGAGAAACACTGTATTAGGGTCATGCAGAGTGAGATGAGATCGCTGTCCCTTTAAGAGAGAGAGAAAGAGGAGTGTGGCTTTTGCATGTGTGTTTGTGGATGGTAGAGCGACAGTGAGGGAACGTGTATATGTTTCTGGAAGTGAAACGAGGAAGCAGGCCTCCCAAGAAGAGCTCGCCTCTCTCCAGTCATTTAAGCTAAAGTGGGTTATTGAACCTGAAGCTTGTTGCTTCTGCCCTCCTCGGCTACGGTCTGGGAGCCGACAGGAAAGTTCAACACACAGATGGCCAGTCCGCCCCTTTGTAGCATATTATTTCGATGCGAGATGAGCAGATCGCCACTGGGCTTTCAACTAAAGACACAGCCATGCAAAAACTGCGGCATTTGTACAGCTCCTTATGGGTACTGCAATTTGTGAAGTGCTTTCCTCCGTGGTGAAACGATCAGCAGTGCACCACGGAGGAAAACGGCAGAAAGTCACCTGGAGTTAAAGAGAGCGGGGCTGCGTTGCGTGCATGGCTTCCTTCTGCAGGTAGCGGGGAGACGCGCTCTGACGGCGGTCTCGTTAAGGATCCGAAAATACAATTTAAATATTTTGCACACTTATTCCTATTGTGCCACTGGTTACGGTGCCGCGTGCCAATGCTGGCACGCGTGCCAGGGGTTGCTGACCCCTGCGTCTAGACATATCACACAAGGAAACAGCTCAATTTGATTGACATTTTTTTGTAAAAATGCATCTTTTCATATACAAATGTGTACTTTAGAAACATGTTATGAACATAAAACTAATTTTAATGATGACAAAAGCACATATCTTTACCGTAGGCATGTCTACAGTATCGAAATGTACAGTTTTATTTGGATAAAAGTGTCACCCAAATACAATGTAATGAAATGTCAAAGGTTTTGTGGCTGAAATACAGAGTGAAACTGAAAACTTTTATGCATTTGGATTTGAGGATTAAATGGACCATACCATTAATCGCAACGAGTTCAAAAAACTCGAGAGAAACAGATAATTGACTATTTAATTACCAGGAGTGGTCTTGTCAGTGTGTGTCAGTGTGTGTGTTTGTTGTGTCATTTTATGGTTATGGGATGTTAGTCATCACATTGCATTCCCACTATGTAGAGTCTGTTTTGTGGACACTAGGGAGAACAGCTGCTGCGATGCTGTAGCTAATGTGGATCCCAATAACCTAAAACCCTAATGCTCTTGTTGAACATCTGTTTGTGTGTTAGTGTTATTGCTCTTGCTAATCGACACCATGCATACTAGGATCTGCCCTTGTAGTTTAATAACGTTTATCTTTTTTTAAATAATATCTAATCTAATCACAGTGGCTGAAAAGTGGCATCTGTATGTTGCTCTTGCACAGCCTCAACCACAGCTCAGCTTTATATGTAATGACCTTACAAAATTGTATAATTCATGTCCCAATAAATCAAGAGTACGCCAAGACCCTGCAGCTGTGATAGTATTAAACACAGCATGGTGCTTGTGAAATATCTGCTCAGTATTCCATCCATCTTCCTTTACACACTGCAGTGACCTATTTATTGGGCCCACTCATGCACAGCACCAAAATAACAACTTTATTCAGAACCATATTGAGGAAAATCTCAGAAAAAGAATACATAATAAAGCATACATGAATACGGATTTTTACCTGGTACTTCCACGCCATAGACAACTACATCCTTCATGTCTAGCAGCCTGCTGAGAGTCCCCTCCACCTCTGTTGTGGACACGTTCTCTCCCTTCCAGCGGAAAGTGTCTCCTGTGCGATCTTTGAAGAACATGGAGCCGTAGTCGTCCATGATCAACACATCACCTGTTAATAAGAGGGCAGAAGATTGTATTCATTTAGTCAGTCAGCATAGAATTAAGGTAAAAGTTAACTTTGCGTGTGTGTGTGTGACTCTAACCGGAGAGATAGGCACTGTCCCCCTTCTTGAAAACACTTTGAGCAATCTTCTTGCTGGTTGCTGATTGGTTGACGTAACCATCAAACCTCCGGAGAGGGTCATTCTGGATGATCCGGCCCACAAGCTGCCCAGGTTCACCTACAGGGAGAGGGAGAGGAGGACAGAATAATTTATGAATGGCAATTATTATGGCTTATCAAATGACCATCATCACACATGAAGCACAGTCAGGAGGTAAGAAAACAAGGTGATATTTTGGCAGTATTAGATATGAAATGTTATTATATAATCAGATAAATATCAGTATATGGATTTTTTTACATTAAAGCTTTCCAAGTGTAAAACTGATAAGTGTGTATAGAGTAAACCTACCGGGTTTACAGGGAATACAGACGCCATCAGGTCCCCTAATGAGCTCCATTGTCTCCTCGTCAACCCTCACCAGTCTGATGGGGTAGACGAAGGGCAGAATGCGACTGTTGAAGCCACACGCTCCAACCTAGAGCACAGACAACAAGTATCAACAAAGCAAACTAGTTTAAACCGGTCACAAAGCTGCAGTGCCATGTTAACAAATGGGTATCAATAACGACATGTTTAGGAGTATTTCAGAGCAGAAGAGATAAGAAAAGCCTCTGAACATAATGTGAACAGGTGGGGTGGAGGAAATTGGAAATATTTCCAAAGAGGGTATTTTGCTACAGTTTAAAAACACAAAGAAAATCTTTATTTCGAAGATCTGAATTTGTTTCTTCCTTCCCACCTTGTTGTCAAAGTTCCCCAGGCTGCAGTTGCACTCTGTTGCTCCGTAGAACTCTGCGATCACCGGGATATTGAAGCGGTTCATGAATTCCTCCCATATGGACTGGCGCAGGCCGTTGCCGAGTGCCATGCGCACCTGATGCTGTTTCTCCATGTCCCGGACCGGCTGGTTCAGCAGGTAGCGGCAGATTTCACCAATGTACTGCACAATCTGGACGAGAGTGGATCAACATGGGATGGAGAAAAAACAAGTTTAGTGACGAGACGGAATACAGAGAAGAACTACTGATTTAATACCAAGATTACAATATATAAAAAGTGGATTCAAAAGGAATTAACTGGAGAATAACATTAAATTGTGACACTATTTTTAAGGAAATTGACAGGGAATACGTTTTATTAGCACCACTGTGAGATTGTGGTGCGCTGCTTTGCCATTAAATCTGAGGCAGTGAATCGTAATCCACAAAATACTTACGGTGCACTTGTATTTGGCACAATCGTCCCAGAAACGTGAGGCGGAGAACTTCTTTCTGATGACTACAGTCATGCCATGGATTATACACTGGCCCACTCCCACAATGTTACCTGTGGAGAAAAGGAATATTTACATTTTCTAGCTTCGACACGGAAACATCAGAAGAAGTCAAGAACACTGATGGGAAAATTCACAAAATGCTTAAACTGCACAAATAAGACAAAAAGCAACTGTTTAATTCTTAAAAGGTGACACATTTGCAGTTTGTATTATGAACTTTAATCATAAACAGTTATATTGTTACCTGCAGAGTGGTAGAGTGGAAGGCAATCATAGAGCACATCGTCTGAAGTCATCCTAAAGCCATAATATACCAAAGCTGCCATGCGGTAGTACCTGAAAAGCAGGTGAGGAAGGGCAAGGGAAGAAAGGGAAACAAGTTGAAACAAAGCCAACAAGTCTCTTCGAACAGTTGTAATGCTATGACAGTGACATGGATCAACAAAGAGAGCAGCTGCAGTCCCTGTGTGTCCTCCTACCTGCTGTGCACAACAATAGCAGCTTTAGGCATCCCAGTGGTTCCCGACGTGTAGATGTAGAACAGGCGATCTGAAACAAAGAGCAGGTGGACAGTGAGATAAAAAGACAACAACCAAATGTCCCTCAACTCATTCTGGCAAGGGCTGATTAGCAACTTATAGATGCAGATTCAAGAAGAATCCCATTTTGAAGGTAGTTATTACTATTACGCCCGGGGATTCAGTGCAATTGGGTAGCATAGCAAAACTCCTGCATCCATATCTATACAAATTGGCAATATATCCAGTTAGGAGTGCACTAGAAAGGTGCACTTAGTAGAGTGCAGGGCTCCACCAAGTGTGTCTCCCTTTCCCAAACAAATAGGAGTTGAATTTCAATCAATGGTCCCTCCCAGCCCCTTACAGTCAAATGCCAATACAAATGAAGATAACGAAAATGGGGATTTATGAATCTTGTATTGTGCCTAACTTTAGTGGGTTGCAACATATTGGGTATGGATTCAATCTGCAGAGGCTCAGGTTCAATATGAGAACACACTTTCTATGGATGTCAGTTTTTAAAAGGCCTAAATGTGGCCTAAAACAGAAAAGTAAGTCTTTCTTTAGACTTTGAAGAAATTGCCGATCATAAGAACCAGGGGAGGTTATTTGGCATACAATCATAAATGAACACAACTAGGCTAATGGGTCGGTAGTGTGTGAGATTATCTGTGCACAGAGTCAGATATACACGATAAAACGCACGATCATGCCACAGGCCACCTGGCTAAGATAATAAACTCAGAAGAATGCAATGTCAACTGGATTATGTTGGCTAGGAGCTATCTTAGTTCACATACAATATTGAAACCCTCACTGAGTGGGTTGCTTGGCATAAGTAAATCAGCTGTGTGGGTGAACATGAGGTGAGAGCATGAACAAAGGTTACAGGTTTTATAGCTGTCAGTGATAACATATAGTTTAGTGTTTAGGGGCTAAAGCGAGGGTGCAGGTGGGACTAGATTCATGGAGTAAGAGTTCACCAATCTGCTTTGTGGATAGAAGGAAAAATGTAAGATGCTAAACAATGGGAACACAAATTATAAAATAATATATATTGCCATATTAGGTTATCAAAAATCTGAATCCAGGTTTTTCCTGTCAAGTTATTTGTATGCTGTACAAATTGCGGAGCCCTTTAAAGCCAATGTGAGAGATAAATGAAATGACTAACTATTACTAATATCGTCAATTCCATTTGTTCTCCTATTAATACATGTTGCCTTAGAAACCAACATAATCTCAGGTGATGAGACACTAATAACTGTAACTAAGTAACGAGTGGAGAATTCTGGTTAACGACAACTTCTCTTACTAGTTTATCAACAACATAACACTCACACTGTATTATTAATAGGGATGGGAATTTGAAAGCAAATGCATATTCGAATATTCGACCCCCCAAAAAACGGTTAACCGAAATGTACATATCCTATAAAACAAAAAAATTGGGTAAAAAAAATTCAACATTTTTAAATAAATAAATACATGTTCAAATACGTATAGAAACCAAGTTGAATTTGTCAAATGTATTGAACTGGTGCAGGCCAGCTGTAGAGAAGACCCTCTCAGCTGGAACGGAGGTTGCGGGTATAGCAAGGTATAGTATGTATATAAGTTTAATTTGGCATAGTTTGCACTCTACACCGCACTCACTAACCTAGTCGAAATATTTCCACACATTACTCCTTTTTGACGCCAGTTCTGTTGTGTAGGACTCTTCTTAGAGTGTAAATAATTACCGGACTATGACTGGTAAAATATGTTGAATAGGGACGAGTTAGTGAGCGCTGTGTACTCGACGCGTCCGGATTTGGTTTGTTAATCCGCGGACGGACCGTTGGCACAACCGCCGTTTTCATGTATCTGTAAAACTGTCGCTTCTCTAAATC